ATTTCTTATTGTTGCACACGTACAATAACGCCAGCCGTTTCTTAACCTGGCTCACACGTTGGACGGCACACCATCTGCGGTGCACTTTATAACAGTTTGAACAACGTTGTCTAACATGGCCATCATGTCCTACGTAATATGGTGGATACTGGGGCGATGATGTGCTTGCGAATTATTTTATAATTATAGTAGACTTGAACAGTATCTCCCGCACTCCCTATTCCTCTCCACCCTGGACCAAGTGTCATGATCAAATAAAAGAGACCGGAGGTAGGAGAGACCTGGTGTGGCGAGAACCGCCATCTAGGCGTGCCCTCAAACGACCACCACCATGTGTGGCATATTTCGTGGGTGCGCATCGGCAATAATGCATGTTACGCTTTAATTTTATCCGCCTGTTGGTCAAGCGCATATTTCGCGTGGTCCATTTAAGGCGTTCAATTATTATCTTGACTGGCGGGGCCTTAACGATTGGCACGTTTACTGCTTACTTTTGAAGTTTTCAATAGAAAATTAGCCGAAATGACTAAACCACAGGGTAATTTGTGTAAAGGAGTATGGGAACATCAAGACGAAGTAGAAAAAAATAGGGGAGGAAGTTGCATGTGAACAATCTCCTAATTCCGGTCCACTCGCTGACCTGGTCATTATCTTTAACAACTCAAGTGGAATACAAATCAGAATAGAGCAACAGAGTGTATAAGAATACGGAACCACTTACGTGATAGCTGTGCTTGGTGTGGATACTCTCGAGAAAGCAATTTTTGCAAAGGCGGCTGGTTACACCAATGGAACAGTCACTAAAAAATAAAAAAAGTAAAATATTGTTCGTTGTAGTCCTGCAACTAAGTTTTAGCTGATTGCATTTCAAAGGCGGCAGCCTTTTCAGACTGTGGGAACTATGCGCAGACACGATCTCCGAGTTATCTGCGACGCCCATTGGCAGGTTACTATGATGAGACTCGCCCAATAGCAGAATGCCGGCGTTTTTGAGAAATTCAAGCATCGGCTCGATCCGGTACGAAGACCCAATCGACAGTACGCAGCCCAGTTCATCCTTCGGAAGAGGAGAGATCTGTTAGTGTTAACGCCTCCCTGCTGAGTAAGATTGCCATACTATGTACCTCATGGTCCCTGTTGACACCCAAGTGTACTCCGGGGTCAAGAAGGAGGGTCTTGTTATGTCGTTAAGTGACAATATTCCAGAGTTATAAATTTAGCGCATCCATATATTGTGAAAGTGCCGTTTGAACACTGGCTGATCTACAAAACGTATTTAGAACTCTGTTTGCCTGGTGGCTCGGTTAGTGATTATTTATTATAAACCCACCAAGCAGCGCACACGCGAACCTGCAGTTCCGAATTGTGAATGGCTGATCCAATATTATCCACTGAACAGTCACGACAACAAGGAGACAATTCACTATTCCCTTTTATCTGTGCTGTCTCCCTTCAGGTAGTGGTTGCTTGAGACATAGTACCTGGAGTTTGCTGTCAGCACCTGCTCTGGTCGTGAACCAACATCACCTGATTTGGGCACTGTTACCCTCTCCAGGGCTTTTCTTTTACCATTTTTATTGAGTAGAATTAAAACAGTATGAAAGAATAAACTAATGGTCTTCTCGAGGTTGTTAATACCTTCCTCAATCAGCCAAATCACCGTAAAAAATCCGCCCACAGAACTATTACGGAGATGGTCCAGAAACAAGCACTGGCAAAAACGTTAGCAGCATCACCGAATCAGAGTTTCATTAGTCCCTCCTGCTACTATAAAGACTCGTCCTGTTACCCCTACTAGTGGTGCTACTATAAAAAACTAACCAATATGGATGCTATTCATATGTAACCGTCACAATTAATTCTACTACGGCAACCGCTATTCTAACTCCCATTATTTTTACTAGTACAACGAATGCATTGATAAAAAGAAGTGGCCAAGTAATGGCGCTTGGAATGTATTGTAAGGCCACCTGTCATCCTGCAGTGGTCTCTATTTCCGCAGTTGATAATTCTCAGGCGGCTTCCATGGACTCTAAGACTGTTAGGACCACAGTGGTGATTCAGCTTCGGTTTTTCGTCTATGCTGAGTGTCAGGTATTTCCTATCTTCGCAACTGAGAACTTGTGAATCCTTTTGGCCCACCACATTACATATATTTCTGGAACTGAGTCATTTATTGTGAAAATATGGGGCCTTATGACCGAGCCAGGAACGCTTGTAGCACCTTCTACTACAATATGGGCAATCCGAAACAAAATACCATCCACTACACTGCCAACAGGCTGTCTTTTGTTTCCTTGGAGAACCACATTCCTCTCTTGAGTTGCTAGATTTTGCGTCACACAGGCGCACTTGTTGGTTGTTCATGTTACAGATTAGCTGTTACATACCACCCCGAACCTCTATTTTTTGAATCAGCTGCTCTCGGTTGTTTCACTTTTCAGGACTTCCTCTCCCGGTTGCCTTCACGCGCTTCCGTTTCGTCGATCCTAAAAGTTACATTGCTACTATTTTCCTACCGATGTACTGGTTTCTGATCACTTGTGTATTGTTATACGGTTATCGTTCGTACCGTAATCGTATATAATCTCTTTTTCATTGACTTATCGTTCATAGTCACCTACTCGGCTCTGCGCCTCGTCAAACGAGCTTTTACTGCCTTCAATGACGACTGCTTCACCGTAGTCTTCGGAACCTCCGTGCGGCCGTAACTGGAGTTCGCTATCCAAGCTTGGAGACCCTGAGCCGCGAAAGACATCAATATCTCCGGAAAGGTTCAAATGCGTGCAACAAAACTCAGTCTTATGAAACAAAACACAGTCTTATGAAACACGGCTGTCAAATCTCAGTCTCTCTCCTGTGCGCTGTAGACAGCTTCGAGGGGACCTGATACTAACATTCCGCATATTAAGTGTTCAGGACTGCTGTCTTGCATCAGGATATTTCTTTGAATTAGCAACAACAACGAACTCGGGAGGTCATCCTCCCAAAGTACTTGTAACTAAGGCCAGGCTAACACGCGGAAATACTTCTTCTCAAAAGGAGTGGTCAAAGCTTGGAATGCTCTTCCTCTAGATGTTATGTCGGAGCCCCAGGAGGTTTTTAAGCCAAAGCTGAATCGATTTAGCCGTTCGCACTTAACTACAAACTGACGCTGCAAACAAGACGCCCAAAACATTACAACAAGGATACTACTTTCGAGATTCTAGTAGCATAATGTTTTACCGAGAGTCAACTAGGTAACCTACTCCGACCGCCGGCTAACATCGCCATACTATACTGATACCTGCTACATTCGACTAACTTCCTTTATATGTTTACGCTCTCTCACCAAAATTCCCCTACGAAGGTCTTCCGTACTTGACTATCTGCGTACTGTGATGACCGCGTCAGCGATTGTATCAGCCAAAGCTTGCGGCCATAGTCCACGTGGCCGCTAAACGTTCTCCCTTGGCTGGGCCCGCAGCGGAATGTCTACGACTTTGGCGGCTATTTCTGCTTTCGCAACTTTGTCGGTGAGCCCTGCAATCAGCAAAGGAGTATCTGGCCACATCTTCAGCACCTTGGTGATAATCCCGGTGACCTTTGCAATGCCCTTCCCCGTTGGACCATCCCCAAAGAGTAGCAGTTTTTTCTTCAACAGAATCCTAAGGAGTTTTTCTCACTGTCTGCTCTTTACCAACAATGTTTCAGCTCATTGGCTCAAGTTAATTGGTCTCGCAAATAAACTGAGATAGTATTTTCTGATACCACAACACACATTTCCGAATAGGAAATTCAAAGGTGACCTACCTAAGTCACCCTCAAATGTATTGATGCTGATACTAATGCTCTACTTATTAGTGTATCGTACTGTTTCGGCATATATAAATTCGCATTAGCGAATAAAATCTCATGGTAACGTTAATTATCTCATTGCTATTATAGCGCAAGATACCAAGCCTCTCGATACAATGAAGATTTTCGTGATCCAACTTTTAAACGAGGCTGCTAAATATTGGCCTTTTCTAGGCAAACTTGATGATATACATTATTTAGTCGGCCGGCTGGATCAAAATAATCTTCATATAGCTACCTTTCTATTTTGAAACCCTATATACGTTTGTGCAATAATGACTTAGATAAACTGAATAAAGACTTCAAGTTCTTAACTGCGTCCGAAAATGAAATGCCAACTGGTTTATTTGGTAATACAGTAGTCGCCGGCTATTATGCCCACGGCTAATAAGCCCAGCCGCCTAT